AAGCTGGAGGCTTGGCAAAAAGAAGGCCCTTCTGAATGTAGTTGGCGCAAGCCATTGCTAGATCCCACTGTGACAAGTAAATCGGTTGCTTTGCCTCTTCTGGTGTGTTTTTTGGTTTGATAAAACATTGTGAGATATGTTGAATCCCAGGAGAGCTCATTGCTGCTACTTCAGCTATGTCTTTCTAATGGTTTTTCCAGCCCTTGGAGTAATGGAGTAAATGGCCCTAAAATATGCAGAATGCTTGCCGATTGACAAGTCATTAAAAACCATTATTTTTCTGAGTGCAGCAGTTTCCCCAGAAATTTCTCATTTGTTGACAAACTGCACTAAACAATCAAGTTGCCAGCTTGACCATCTATAAACAAATCTTCGGATACTTTGGACCAAGACAACCAATCTATAAAACTACACACATATATAGTTATTAGGATTTCAAAGAAAACTCGTACTGCAGGAACCATAAAACGTTTAAAATTGTTCCCTGGCCAGGGACCCTCAGTTGGGCTAGGCAGGCTAGTGAGGGACCAGACCCGGTGATAAACGAATGCGTGTCAAACTAAACAACATATTTGGTCTACCCATCATCTATCTTTATCACCTTTTGGCTAAACTACTTGAATACAGGAAGAATGTTTTCTCAATTCTCATATGACTTGGACTATTTGAGTCTAAACGTTGATATTACAATGAACACCCTTTATTTTTTTAATTTACAACAACACACCACCATCCCTTCACAGCTTCCCCACAGTCCTGACAGTGCCTCCTCCCCAAGCATTTACCCAACCCTTATCTCTACAATCTAATCATACCAAACCACGCACGGTTTTATTATTGAAGTGAGCAACAAAAGTCTTCTTGATCAGAATTCAAACATTTATTCATCCAAAAAAAATCTAAAATTTTGTTGTTGGTTTAAGATTCACCTAAATCAATAGCAACTCGATCATTATCAACCAAATGAATAGCAATTCACTAATTAATCATGATCATGGCAGCAGTTTCTCTTTGGTTCCAGTGACAATTATTACTAGCAATAGTACAGAAGCGTGGTCAGTGAAATAAACCCTGAGAAAAATGAACAATAAACAGAAGAGTTGTCGGTACCTGAAGAAGAGAAGAGGAGAGAAGAAATCATAGGCTAAGAAGATACCGAGAAGGGCAACCACCCTTGAAGAAAATCTCCAATCTCTTCGATTTAGCCTTCAGTGGTTTCTTATACCAAATGAATATGCACTTGGAATTCTTGTTAAATGCATCAAGAAAAGGATGGTTGAGGGCCACTTTTAATCACAAACACAAAAAAGTTAAAAATGAGATTGGTTAAAAGAGATTTGGATAGCAAAAAAACTAGAGGTGGAGCTGGGGAGCTGGAGGGACCATGGGAAACTGCGTTTGAGGGAGCAGGAGTAGCCAGCTCTGGGAAGAGAAAACGAATGCCATGTTATTAATTTTTCTTCATTTAAGGAACCAAAGACAGCATTAGAGTGAATACAAATTTTGACACATTTAGCTAGAATAATAAAAGTATATTTGTGCAATTGAATAATCCAAATATGTACCCAAAAATAAAGTGGTATTCCTATTTGGTATTTTGGACTACTAAATTGTGATAAAGCTTAATTTGCCTCAAATTAAAAAAAAAGCAGGTGAAATAAAAAAAAAAGGGTAAAGTACTTAATACCCCTTTGTGGTTTTATAGAATGCCAAATGACATGCCCTAAGGTTTTAAAATAACCACATAACTTCCCATGTGATTTTATGTAAGGTGAAAAATGAACGGAATGTACAATCAATTATATCGTTCATACCAAATGCGCTTTAAAAGGTCGCGTGATAAATCTTAATATCCAAGTAATTTCCTTGTGATTTATATAAATATCCACTTTATCTTCTGTGATTTTTGTATTTATCTGCATAATCCCCTTATACTTTTATGCAAGGTGGTTTAGCTGTCAATTGATTTAGTATTTAAATAATGACACTATTGGTATTTTAACTAACGGCATTACATAGTTATTTTGCGTCAAATTTTCACTTTATATAAAACCATAGGAGGTGAAATGAGCATTTTTAAATGTTAGGGGTCATGTGATAATAGATGAAACCACAGGAGGTTATATGTACTTTATCCTAAAAATAGATAAATAAGAAATAGAAAATTAAGAAGCATACTGAAAATGAAAAAACAAACAAAAAAGTGACATTGTGGTATGGTATTTTCTATTTCTTATTTATTTATTTTTATTTATGATAGGGTGTAATTTTATTATTTATTTTATTATTAATTTCCCCTATTACCTGACTCGATGTGAATTAATTGTTGGATTCTACTCATTTTTAGTATTTTGCATTTATTCAGGAAGTAGAACGATGATAACAGGGGGATACGCGGGGTAATCTAAAATAACCCTGGTAGTGTGTTATTTGGTTAGAATAAGACTCCTCTAATACGTAAGGCAATTGGAAAATTAAATCTTACGGGCGTATCTAGGATTATTTCCTAATTAGAGTAGTAATTAACGGGCGTACCTTAATCACCGACACAATAAGGAGGGGTTGACTGCTATCGCTTGTTTGGTAGTTATAACCTATTTATTGATAAATAATTGGAATTGCCTTTGCTTCGATGATCAATTAAATATACCATTGCTGAAGTTATTTCTTGGTTAGAGCCTTAGTTATCATTCATTTGATTTTAGTTACTTGTTATTTAATTTTTAATAGTTTCTTAGATTTTATTTGAATTTCTTTGATTGTCATCTTCTGCACAAAAACACCCCTTTTATTACCGTGGATTTGAAAAGAAACAATTACTCCCAATCCCTGTGGATTCGACTTTGCTTACCACTATTTACAAAAATTAACTTTAGTTGAGCAGGTTTTTATTATTGCACAGGTTGACAACCTGTCAATTTATCTTTCTTCTTTTTATATTTGGGGCAAATTAAGATTTATTATGATTTTGTAGGGCAAAGTACAATTTTTTAAAATCATCTCTTTCCTATCCAAAGGTAAAAGAAGAAAAGAAATGAAAGGAAAAAAGGGGAAAAAAAATAGTGAAATGGTGAATTAGTCAATTCATTAGTTTTTGTTTCACTTTTTGACATTGATCATTAGTTTCAAATGAAAAACTAATCATAATTTCTTTAGTCCAAAAATTATGAAAGGACTATATATAAATTTTAAAATATAGGAAAATAATGTAACAAAGCACCTAATCACAGGAAGATAAAAGATAATTCACTCTTCTTTTCTTGGGTGCAAAATGGAACTGTAAAGCAACAATGAAGCAATCAACAGCTAAACATAGACCTTGTGGGAATAATAACCTGAAAGGACTGGAAGTCCAGAATCTGAAAACACTGACAAGGATATCATAAGGGAATTGTCTTGGAATACATCCAATTGACAACTGCTTTTCTTTTCCTTTACAGGCTTTTGGAGAGTAGACAGAGAGTTTTTTTTTTTTTTTTTTTCCGAAAGAATGTAGAATGAATGATGAAGGGGCCAGCATATGGCAAAAGCTTCTTGCTACTTGCTACTGCATTGTCTTCAGTGTAATCGAAAGACCAACAAATTCCAAATGCTAACTGCAAGTACTAAGTAAGTTGATGACCCCAACATATGAAACTCACCACATTCTATGCGAGTATTTATCAGTATTTTAGTGTCTCGAGTACCATTGCTACTACTAATAGACCATTAGTAAGACGTCTCTCAAAAACAACTGAAGCTACCATAGCTTTCTTTTCATCACAGATTAGAATAATGCATTAGCACAACTGCTGTTCTGTACTCAGAATAAGGTCTAAATTACTCTCTAGCAGTTCGCAGTTGTTTCACTGATGGATGAAAAAGGATCAAAATCTACATTCTTTTTGTGTGGCATTAAATAGTTTTCATTTGCTTAATGGAAATTTCCAAATGAAATGACACATTTTTGTAACAAAACAAGAAGTCATAGTATTAAGCTGAATACTAACACATATAATCACTCACAAATACAGGCAAAGTCCATCTGGAAAACAAGAATCTTGTCCCTCCAAGCTTTATCAAGAACACAGGATATGAGCCAATTACAAAGTGAAGATATGGCAGAGTAAATCTTCCACCGCCAGTTTAACTTGCAGTAGATAGAGTCACAGACTCTCAAAGTGAAGAAGCACCAATTGAAGCACAAAGGTAGACGAACACCAAGCAGAACAGGTAGAAGGTTGTAGACCAGCTTGCTTGTGGACATTATTGGAGAAGCATACATAAACCAATTGAATCCATCGGTGATCAGCATTCAGCCAGATTTTTTTTTTTTTTTTTGCCTTTGCTGTCATAAATCACAGAGGACAATATTACCCTGGTTACTTGAAAAACAAAATCATTTAACCAGGGCAAATTCAGATGCAAATACATGTAGCGACTCCATCTCACAAGAAAATGGAGTGGGATAAAGGTGGAATTCGTGAGTACCATGCTCAGCATTTTGAAACATTTTCATCCGACATATGACTCTTTTCACCATAATGTGCAAGAAAAAGATTGTTGCAAAGAATATAATCAGTTCCAAGGAACAAAGAAACAACAGATGTAGACTTTTTCTTCCTAATACAATGAAAGAGAGGTAATATTTAGGCTTGGACGAAATTCAAATCTCTGAATATCTGTTTTTGCATTTTGAACACATTTCCATCCTTCTGATCTCCTATGAAAAATGAGCATGCAGTCTCCAAGGTCATCTAAACTTTTTTTTTTTAATCTCAAAATAGAGGTAAAACTTTTCTGATAAGGACTCGTACTATATATCATAAATCGAATCCTATGCCATATGCATGTGTTCTTCCTTGTCGATAATCAAGTAGTATTTGCTAGATTATGATCATGAAGTGTACTCATGTGATACTATTTGTGCACGAATTCTCTCAAAGACAGGGTGCATCGAAATATAGAAGAAAATAAGATAGACAAAAAAAGGCAGAAACAAAGAAACATAAAGTTTATTACCTGCTAATATGAGCAGACATCTAATCCACTTCCTGCAAAGAACTCTATTGTTCCATTCCAGATATTAGGACCATAAGCTCCTCATTTCCAATGTCTCGTTGCTCATCTTCAATTTCCTTGACGGAAACTGCAGCAGATTGGCTACACCAATGTACTTCAATTCTCTCCAATGTACGGATATCCCCAAGACTGGACGGAACTTCCTCCAGTTTTTTACACCTTTGCAATACAAGATGCCTCAGGCAAGGCAAGTGATCGTTGGAAGCTTTCCATTGAGCAATCCATAGGTTGTCAAATTTCAGGTATTTGAGACTCTGAAATTCTCCCTCCGTCATTTCCCAAATTTGTCCATCAAAGGCTCTTGACAGTAACTTCAGAACTTCAAGGTGGGGTAGCTTCCCAATTGTCGATATTTGACTCCATGGTAAGCGAAATTTTGACAGAGTTAATTTTTTGAGATTCAAGGGCAAGTTGAACTCGCAAGGCTGACTAACCATGCCATGATAAAGTATCTTCAGAGACTCAAGGTGAGTTAGAAAATCCAATACAGGAAATTTGGTGAACTTCTTGGAGTAATCCGAAGATTCCACAAAAATGCATCTTAGTTTCCGAAGACTCGGAAACCTTCTCAACATCTTTTCTGTAACACTTCCATATGAAAGAGCTGGAGTGGAAAACGTTTCCATGTTCTCTACTAGCGAAGAACAATCAGATTTATCATTTAGCGAGCTGAAAGCAACACGATCATTTATATGTACACGCCTCAATCTCTTCATATTCAAAAAGGAAGATGGCACCAGAACCTCACCCCTTAATGCCTTCACAAGAAATGTTTCTAAATTCCAGAGCTTGCATATTGATGATGGAACAGATTTGACATCACCTCTAACTGCCAAATACTTCAACTGAACAAGTAGTTCTAGTCCAATGGGAAAGGAATCACCCATGTTGATGCTTTCCACATCTAACACTCTAACAAGTTTAAAATTCTGACAAATGAATGAAATATCATATGGAGTTCTTGGGTATATCTCATTAGAGGCAAAAAACAATAGACTACGAACCTGTCTACCACAAGGTTTCAGCAGACTAAAAAGCTTTCGCTTAGAACAAATGCACAGCCGTCGGTCTTGGTATTCCAGGGGAGTTGATGAAAAGCTGTTATTGGAATCTGCATCATAATCCAGACCCTCGGCCTCACGAGAAGGCGAAAAAAGTTGTTTATACCCATGTATCAGCTGGAAAAAGTTTTCTTCTTTGGCTTTTTTCAAGCACAGCTCCCGTAACAGATCATGAACTCGAAATGATTTCACTTTGCCATTGGACCTTTTTTTTGCCACAATGACTAGGCTCCTAGATACTAATTCTGACAAGCAATACTCTGCAGCATCCTCCAAGCTCTTAGAGTCAGTATTTTGTACAAACCCTTCTGCAATCCATAGGCATGACAATTTCCAGGCTGGAATTTCTGCGTCTTCTGGGAATGCACCAAAATAAAGAAAGCACGACTTCAAATTGTCTGGCAAGTGCTCATAACTCAATCCTAGTGCATGCATGCATCCTCCCTCTGGATCCGCAAAAATATAAGAGCTCAACTTTTCCAAAACTTGCTTCCACCTGTCTGGAGTCTTCTCTGTTCTTGCAAGGAGACCAGCTATCACAACAAGTGAAAGAGGTATCCCTTTGCAATTTTCTGCAATTCTCTCTCCAACTTCCAGCAATGTGTTAGGGCAGTCTACTTCACAGAATACCCTCTTTTGCAATAACTGCCAACTTTCATCCTGAGAAAGTGGACAAAGAGGGAAAGTTTTGCCATCTTCTTTAGCTTGTAAACCCAAATCTTGCTGTCGACTTGTGAACAAAACTCTGCTACCATTCTTATCATCTGGAAATGATTGCCTCATGTCACTCCATGCTCCAATTTCCCACAGATCGTCCATCACAATGAGATATCTTTTCCTTTTCAAAGATTGGTACAACTTTGTAGCTATATCATCATCATCCAGTCTGCGGATCTGATCAGTGATCTCAATAATTTGGCACAAGATATCAAGTAATAACTGTCTCCTCTGATGCTTTTGAGAGATGCAACACCAAGCACGAACATGGAAGTGAGAGGCAACAGAGGGAGAGTTGTACACTTTTTTGGCCAGTGTTGTCTTGCCAAGCCCTGGCATTCCTACAATGGAGATGATATCCATCTTCATTTCTCCTCTTGTTAGAACACCTTTAATCTCCTTCTCCTCATTATTGAAACCTACAACAACTTCATCCAATTCCGGAGTACTAACCGATGAGGGTGCCCGATCTGAGGGCTTGGCGATGTCTTGAACTTCATTGTAATACTTTTCCTGAACACAAATGGCCTTTGCTTTGATAAGCTTAATGTACTCCATGACGGCAGAAAGCCACAGCATGTGATAGGTAAAAGGGCCATCTCTAAGGACAAATGAGTCAATGACCCATTCTGCCTCATAAGCAACTTTGGTAATGCACGTCCAAAGATCTCGAACTTCTGCACGGTCATTTTTTTGCTTCACACTTTTTACGAGGAAAGATTGGAGGAACTCTAATTCCTCGCATACCATTTGAAGATGTTGCTTTGCGAAAGATGCTGCATGATTTGCATCGTGATTCAGCAACTCCCTCAGATTTTGCAAGAGAGAGTTGATAAATCCTAGATCATCAGTCCTGGGAAGATTTGACTGCAATGACTTTACATCTTGGAGATATATCTGTCCCATATGAGCCTTGAAAAGCCCAAATAACTGTAGCACTTCAGATGCAAATGGATGAATTTGCATACCTTTTTGCATCATACTTTCACCAACTGAACAGTTTTGAGATCCTGAATCATTGGCAACAGCGTTGCCTTTCGCCAAATATACATCTACCAAGTCTTCTGTTATTTTGTTGACACGAAGTGGCAGATCGAGAGGTTGTAATTCACTAATTGCAGCTTCTAGATATGTTAAATACAATTTCCTATCCTCCCTGTTCTCGTCATTGTCAGGGATATCCATGAGAAATGCCCTCAATGACCTCAGTCCCTTGTAAAGAATTTCAGTGTCACCCCTCATGGGGAACAACGAATTGGCCTCTTTATTTTTTAGCTCATTCAAATGGATCTCTGATCTAAAGAGCTTAATCTTTTCTAGCAACCAAAAAAGATCAAGATTTATTTTTGTAACCATTTCTTCGTTAAATTTTTTGCCATGAATTGAGTGGATAAGAGATGTAACCTCACTGGCAACCGTTTCAGCTTGTTTTAGGAAAGATTCCCCGTCTTGCTTTGGATTCAACAAAAATGACTTGAAGAATTTCAGCTCCTCATGGATTGCTGCATTTGCATCTCTCATGAGGACAAACAGACTGTCCTCTGAGTGTAGTAGCTCTATCAGAAGTATCTCTGCTTTGACAAGCTTCATCTTTTCAAGCAACTTATCAGCCACATGCTTCATCTCCTTGATCTGGTCCTCTGTCCCTTCATTGAGAAGGTGCTTGTACTCCAAATATCCTGCCTCCCTTGCAATGGTTTTAATATTTGCTGAGATCTGTCCCAAATCTCCTGTGCACTCCTCTTGGAGACCAATCATAAAAGACAGCAGGAATATTAGTTCCTCCTGAATCATTGAAGCTTTATTGTCCGTGAAACTCACAAAGTTTTCCAATAGAAACTTAGCAAAACTCGCAACTTCATCTGTCTTTGCATCATCAGAAGTAGCCAACTTTGAAGCTTTCAGAAGTCCAACATACATCTCCATGAGCTCTAGAGTGTCAGGCATAATCTTCCACACCAGCTCAGAGAGCTTAATGTTCATTCCGCCTGCTACGATTTCATCCATTTCATCAGTCCAGCAACAATAGGACAGAGATGCTGCAGTGGAAGCTGAGAAATGAACATATGACAAAAAAGACTGCATTATCTGGTCTGGAATGCTTTTCTTGGCAGTAATGTCCAGGAAATTTCTGAGGAACCTCAGCTTCTCCTTGAGGACTGGTATTTGTTTCTTCAGAGAAGCAATCAGATCTTCCGAGTCAACAAGATCAGTTAAATTCTCTGCGAGAGAATCAATCAACCCCTTTAGTAATTTTGGATCCAGCGGAATGTTGTGTTGTTGCCGGGACAGCTTCAACAAGCTGCCGTAAGCTTCCCGGATTTCAGGTTGAAAATTTTTGGCCATTTCCAGCATGGCACAAGCTGCTTGGTAAAGTTCTTTACCTGAAAACTTCTCTTGCATGGTACGACAAGCAGAGATAAGATCCTCATTTGCCTTTCCAAATGCATCTTCGAATCTCCCAATGATTGAACTTGATTCAGCCATTATGTCCTTCGATGTTCCAATACAAATAAGAAAAGTTCTCAGGAATCGCAACTCTTTTTCTAGGGCCAAGACCTGATCCCTCAAAAGAGAAGGCAAGCTCCGGTGTTTCAGGGCCCATGCCACACTCATTAAGGGAGTTTCAACACAAGTGAATAAGACATCCATGCCTTGTGTCTCTCTCGAATTAGTTTCTCCAAAGAAATGATAGTTCTCCAAAGGGAGGGAAGGAGACTGGTAAGCTTGATAAACTGATTGCAGCAGAAGTGATCAATTGGATTGTTTCAGGCCTAGAAAGTTACAACTCAAGGATGACATTATTAAAATGGACATTTCAATCAAGATGTTATCCTTACTACCCATTTACTATCATGTGAAGAGCTCTGACTTACATATCTTATTCACCAAAATATTCAGAAGTGGCAGGCCAGAGAACCTGAAGATGGAAATAGAATATTTGGCTTCTACTATTATGACACCATGTGAAAGAAAAGAAAGAAACTTGATTAGTTGCTCAACGTTTTAGCTTTACCATTTTGTCATCGACTTGCAAAGTCAACTTAGTCCAGCTAAAGTTCGGATCAAGGACTCAATAATTCTTATTGTTTTATATTATCTGAAGTATAAAGCTTGAGGAATTCACGGGGACCGACTCCACCATGGTTGAGAAGGTGGATTAGTCCTAGATGCAAACTGGCATAAACAGCGCACGGACACTGGAAATTGCTTGACAACCAAAAATAGTGACCTGTAGCTGTGAATAATGTGCTATTTAACTTTGATTTGACTGAGAACCGAAGTGTCATTTAGCTTCCATCAGATGCTGGCTAAAAAATTTCCTGTGGAAAGAGAAACAAACAAAATTAATTTGATATTCTATCACCAATTCTCTGTCTGTCTTCTTATGTTCTGGTTAAGTTTATGATGACATAATCCCAAATCCAAATACCACTAATTCACATTCTTGAATCTTGAAGATTGCTGGGACATGTAGTCTGAACTGAACCGAGGATATTGCCTTTTAAATTCTTGCACTCAACTTAGGGTTGCCGTGCATTACTTTCGAGGTCCAGCTTTTGTAGATTATTGTGGTGGTTACATTTGGAAACTGAAGGAAACGCAACGAATTTCTTTTGTACAAGTGATGCTAATTGTCGCAAGTACAAGGGCATTTTTTTTTTTTTTCTTTCTTGAGTACATTATTTTGTACATCTGTTACTAACTGTCGAGTTGTGTCATCATTTACTTTGTTCATATCACTTTAGTCATGTATATCGCTTAGAATAGGATTTGCTTGCTAACACAGTCACACACAGTAATATTGAGCAAATTATATATAATCCCTTGTAATTTCATCTATTGTTACGTGACCTTCCTAATGTTTTAAAATGTCTACTTTACCTCTTCATAATTTTATGTAAAGTAGAAATTTGACGGAAAATAACTTCTATAACATCGTTAGTTGAAATACGAATTGTATCCCTATTCAAATACCGAATTGAATAATGACCCAACCACCATACATAAAATCGTAGGGGAATTATTTAATAGTGGACATTCATGCAAATTATAGGGGAGTTAAGTCGATATTATACTGTTCAGGGTGGTTCATTCCATCTATTTTTCATTTTATATAAAATCATAGAGAAATTATATAACTATATTAAAACTTTAGAAGGGTCATCTGCTATTATGCAAGTCACAAGCGGTCACTTGTAACTTGGAGATATGTTTGTCTGCTGTCTTTCTTGTTCAAGAGAATGATTTTCTGAAGCTAGGGTGCAAAAGAATCAATTTGATGGGCACATCATGACGTTTCAAAACTGTCTCAGATTAAATATTGGTAGTTTTGAACTGATCACATGACTGGAATAGAAAGGATTTGATACTTGATCATAGCATTAAAAACTGTCTCGGACTAAACAGAAATTGGAAAGAGATCTTTTGGCATTCCATTAAACATGAAGGACTGACAACTTCACATTTTCACAGAAATTGTAGCAAAAAAATTTCAAGAAAACAAAAACATGAAATTAACAGGCAGGCAACCTTGGGAACCAATAAAGTTCAATGGTAAACAATGAACACTACACAGCCATCAAGCTGCAAAAAGAGAGGAGACTGGCATCAAGTTGTCTAGTCCTTCTCAGAGAACTTAAAGGGAATGGGAGACCATGAAATTATCCAGGTCGCATGTATCGACCAGAGCTACAAGCTCAAGAATTCAGATGTCTCTCAAAAAATCAGAATTACAAGATCTTTTCTGTTATCTCAAATTAAAGGAAGTGATTTCTAAATTACTCACCAGTAGCACAGTTTGTAAACTATACTTGTAGCTTATACGGGTCATTAATGTGTTAATATATAAATAGGTAGCGGTCTATGCCAAATTGTCAACAAACTCAAGGTGGCTTTTATTTATAAAAATGGCAAGTAGCCTACAAAAACCGAGTATGCAACAATTCTACCAATAGACAAAAGATAGAGCAAAACAGGAATGATGATGCTGGTGTCTTAAAACCAATTACTTTATAATAATGTTAGTTGACTTAGGAAACAGCACTTTCTTACTGCTCATGTGGCCAACTGGCCATTGGCCTAAAGGCAGGGAAAATGTCAGTTTTCATCCTTAAACTTTGGATCATGGATACATTTCGTACTCAAATTTTTTAGCATATTACATTTAGCATTTGAACTATCAAGTTTTTTAATCAATTCCATCCTTAAACTGGAAATTAATCAATATGAATGAAAATTGGAGTTGGGAAGAAAGTATTGGAGTTGAGAGAGTGAAAATAGCTATTTTATTTTGTTGAATTTAAATCATGCATGGTTTTTTACTTGAGGGGTTCATGCTTATCACGTGTCCAATTTCTGTTCAAATTGATTAAATTTTTTATTTGAGGATGAAATTAGTCGAAATTTGATAGTTCAACTCAGATACTAAATGTATTACACCAAAAAGTACGAGGATGAAATGCGTTCATGATCCAATGTTTAAGAATTAAAACTAGCATTTTCCCCGCAACGGATCTTCTGTCTCACACTCTGTGCCATTCTCTGTCCTACTTTTAATTATATTGTTATTTCTCCTTCATAAACATCATGTTTTAGTTCTATTTTTGTTTTCTTAAGATCCAATAACTATTAATGCAGTAATACACAAAATTTAACAAACTCAAAAAATCAAAATGCATAAAAAATGAGATTTTTTATGCATTTTCTGCTGTATTTTTTAATTTTCTATTATATATTACTTTTTTGAAACTGTTGTATTTATTTTTTACTGAATTAATAGTTATTAAATCATAAGAAAACAAAAATAGAACTAAAACATGATATTTATGAAGGAGAAATAGCAATATAATTAAAAGTGGACAGAGAATGGCACAGAATGTGAGACAGAAGATCCGTTGCGCATTTCCCCCCCCCCCCTAAAGATCTAGTCCTTTGAGAAGCCGTTTCAAGGATTCACTTTATGGTTGGCACTCTTCGACCATGCTTACCGTAGGAAGTGTGTGGGTGTCGAAACTCGAAAGAATGAAGACGCACAAAATACACAGTCCAATCTCATCAAGTGTGTGGCAGGGAAGCAAGTTGCGTGTTCCAACCCACTGCGGATGCGAGGATTGTGTTTGTGAGCGATTTGTAAAAATTTTTATAAAATAAATTATAATATCGAAGTCATGCCTTAACTCGTGGTAGTGATTGAAGTCAAATCCATTTAAATTTTTTTCTACCCAAAAAAAAGGAAGTAAGTCGCGTAAAACATTTTTCTACCTGAAAAAAGGTGTGCCTCACAAATAGAATGTGTGACTCACTTGCAAAATTAAATTGCCCCAAAAAATTGTGCTATATTTACTGCATTATAAATTGAAAATTGCCTAACATATTCCATTTGTTTTCTGAATGACGAAAATTATTCCCTTTCTCAAACATATAGAGTTCCGAGTCAATTGACGAGGTTTAACATTCATAAATACCTCATTTATTCATTTTGGACCAGACACTCCTCACCTACGACACTTTGGTCGATTAAGGGCCGGAATGATCTGTCAGAGGGACCTCTCGCAAATTGACCTTGTCGTTTTGAAGATTCATTTGTGTGGGATTAGTGCTGTTAATCGAGTTGAGTATTTGGCTGCCGAACTCGACTCAAGCCTGGCGGACGAGTTTTGAAATGTGTTTGGACTCGACTCGTCAAGTGGGACATGTGCAAATTGACCCCAATAAAAGTCTATAATTTTCAATTTTTATGCTTTTGAATTGTGAAATGACATATATACTCTTCTTTATCGAGTCTAATCGAACTACTCGGATAACAAACAAGTCGAATTTACTCGGCTTGTTAATTAAATGAGCATATCTCCAGTTCGAGCTTGACTCGTTTACCACAATTAACCGGCCAAGTTTGAGTCTTATCGAGTCGAGTTCAATTGAGCTTTCGAGCTGCTCGTTCCATTTAATAGCTCTATGCGGGATGTTGTGGAATGGACTTAACGCTTCATCACACGGTACGTCAAGTTTTTTTCCGATTTTCCAATCACTAAGTTCAACGACATCGTTCTGGCCCTGGCTGCTTACTTGACCACGTGGCTTATTCCGGCCCCTTCGTTCTACGCTGCGCGGAGATAACAGTCCTCTGGCAGACGGACCGTTCCCGCCCTTAAGCCCACTTTTGTTTGTTGCACTATACTACAGTGCTATGCAATGTTTTCAGAGTTGAACAGGGCCGGCTGGTTTGACTAATTGGACTGCGAACCGGATATATCACCGGTCCGGTCTAGTGCTAAAGTCACAAGTTAATGAAAAATTGTTAAAAATCGAGCAAACCGTATGAATCATTGAAAACCGTTCCAACTGTAAACCGACGATTTTTAAAATTTTCAAATATTCATTCAAAATTCAAAGCAATAATAGGAAAAGAGCTCCCGAGATTCAAACCCAAGTCTCCACGGT